TGATGGTTAGCCTCCTAAGAACAGTCATAGTTTATTAGGAGTAGGTTCTAACTTGATCTTCAAAACTTGTGATCTTCGTAAAGCTTTATTTGTGTAAAATTATGTTTACGTGATAATAATTGATTTAATTCAATGTACCCAATTCAAATTTATCCAATAATTTTAAGACCCCAATACGAGTCTATCCATTTCATCCTTTTTAAGTTTTTTTCACAGGGGACTACTCATGAAATCTGCCATGCAATAAAGTGAGCACAATTTCGTAACACGCTCATGCATTGCAAGCGTTAACTCCACGGCAGCGACTCTCGATTAAACTCTACGGACGCGCGACGCCCGCCTCGGTCGTCACGCCTCATCAATGCAAGACTGGCTTCCAGGCTCCGCTCTTGAGCTCGTCTCGATGATCCCTCGCTCGCTAAAATCACTTGTCGATCACACCCTCCCGAGTTAGATTGAAAATTCCTGAAGTTAGTTTAGCGTTGGGGCTTGGAGAAGAACAGGATAGGGACAAGTAAGGGACGGGTGGGTGAGGAGAAGTGATGGATGAGGAAAGCGTTATGTAGGATATCAAGTGGATATTGTTCACAATGTGTTGAGTAAAAATGTTAGCTTGTAAATGCCATGACACGTCTTCCAACATTCAACTTCATTTAATTAAATGGGCAACTTAGTTATAATGCTAAGTATGTAAGTACTCGATACTGGAATTTATAATTTGCTTCGTGCGCAGATTGAAGCACGAACAATTTCAAATGTTACAAGAGATGATGGAGGCGAAAAATAAAAAATCTCACCATTTTATCTTCTATGCAACGTCGCAGGTTATTAATTATGTTATAATCCGAGCCAGCCACCAATAACCAGCAGCAATAATTGCTACAGAGAACTGCACTTGCATTGCATGATCACAGCTGTCACAACACCGATCGAATGATGCCTGTCTTGCCAAGGACGACACATGGAAAAGCGGATTTTCTTATCTATTCTCAAGAGCAAGATAGCGGGTGCAAAATTCTTGCAAATGCATCGCTTGTGAAGTAAAAAAGCTGGTGCAATATCGTGCTTGTGCCACCATGCAGTTCAAATATCATGTCCAGAGACACATATTTACAGCAAAAATCTCCCTAATTAAGCGTTTATATCCCTGATCCCTATAATTCACTAGCTTTGGGAAGCTGTTGTTCCTGAAGTGCGCTGCATTGGCTCATTGAAAAACATGCAGTCAATTTACCCGACAAGACTCCTCCTATTTGCCCTAATATTGAAATTAAACAAACATCCGCATCTCCATTTCAGTAGACGACGGCCATTCACCGGCCACTCATACCCCGCCCGTAAATCCAAGCATTTCCAGTATCTATTACTGTTCACAATCCATCTTATGCCGAATGGGTTTTATGAATAACGTGACGAATCTTACGTAAGGTGGTTAGATCTCACATTGACCGTTTTAAATATTTATTGATCTCATGATAATCAATTTTTATTATGTTATAAGATTCCATTTAATTTGCAATATATAAGATGTTTGTGCGCAATGATCCCATGATTCTTCTCTTTTTGTTCTTTTATTAACTGCTCTATATCTTTCTTAATTTAGCAGAACTAATATAGTGTTTGATATATTACTCTATTCCCTTCAATGTGCAAAACGTGGAATGTGTGGATGCGCAAAATATTCATACGATGTAAGCTCGGTCTCTGCAACGAAAGTTAATTGTTTCAATGGAACGAGAATCTCTGCATTAAAACTTGGAGTAAATTTATTTATTTTCAATTGTGTTGAGGATCTTCAATAAATGAGGTAAATATAAGAAAAAAATGAGATTCGTATAAATAAAATTAATAATTTTATGTATATTTAAAAAAGGATTTCATGGATGGGTCGATGCAAGCATGGCTTTTAAGTTGTTAATTGGCGACAAGGTTTATCATTCACATGATTCTTCTCTAACGGCAAAGTAACACTGATCAATTAGCTTCGTGTTAAGAGCTCAACAAAAATTTAGCTTAAAATTTAGAAAACAATTCAGGTATTTTTGCGTTTTAATGTGAGAAGATTCAGTACTCTTATTGATGGTTGACTCTTATAAAAATAATGAACTGTGATGGAATTACTCTTTTCTGAACGATACTGAAATTTATACTTTCAGTACCGTTTATATTTTATTTATAAAAATTAATCGAAACTTTTTCTATACAAAAAATGTTCATATATACGCTACAAACGTAGAGGTTTTAAGCCATCAGTTGAAACAATCAGTTATATATTTCAATAACAACTTATTTACTTAATTAATACAATCATAATAATTGAATTGCAATGTTATGCATCGATTACTGCACTTATGATTTATTGCATTAGACTCACTTCGTGCTCATTCACGGGAATTATTCTGCTAAAAAAAATGGGCATGTGGAATGAGAATTTCACTTCTAAATTTTGAATACATTTATTAATTATGATTTAGTCGTACATTTTATTTCTCGAGTCAGGCCATAAATAAATATTAGAACATAGGCAACATGATTTATTACCATTCTCTGAATACTCCGCATTCATTGTGTATATGCATTAGCAGAGCTTGCATTCACGAATACCTGTGCGGTAATTCAAGATTTATTAATTAGCATTCATTTGAATCATAAAAAACCTCAATCCTGATTTGTTGCTACATTTGTTAACGTCCACATTCTCGTTTAGTGGTTTTTTGCTTCCTGCTTCCAGCGCAAAAAAAAACTCTCACTTATTGCACATCTTGATGTGCATTGAATATTCAAAATTTAAAACTTAGATAATAAAATAGTGAATTGTCCCGACGAATTCTTGTTATTGCAGCCACGTGAATATATTGGGTCAGTCATTGTCATGTGTTATATATAATTACTGCAGCGGCACATGTTTATCACGGAAAGGAAAAACTTATTATTTTTATTTACAAGAATCGAAATAAAAGTTGATTTTAAGTCATCAATACTCGCATCCTTTTTCTCGTCAGCATGAATTAATGCGTAACTAATAGCAAAATTTTGAATTACATTTGTATTAAAATTAATAAATGTATGCATTCAAATTGTCTTTGAGAAATAAAGGGATTTTTTAATCTTCGGATCACGATTGGAATTCAACAGAAAAAATTTTAATGAAGCTGTAATAACTTTTCGTTCAATTTACAGTTAGCGCTATTTCCAATTTCAGGTTGAAATTTTTGAACCCTTTTCACAATTTAAATTCAATGAAAATAAGCTTCTAGCGTCGAAAGTATCAGAACTGCAAGTTAAATAAGTAAATATTTCTGGAATATAAAAGAAAAAATAATTTCGGAATATATCTATCATTTCCTCATTAAACACCAACTGTTGGTTCCGAAAATTCATCAGCATCCAGAGAAGACATCTCACTCGATCAAGCTTTTGCTTCGCAATTAAGAGGCTCTAATGCCAGCAAAACGTCTATTGAAAGTCCACTCAATTTGAAGAAAAAATCAAGAAGTATACAAAAATTTTTGGTAAATAAGGTCGCGATATGTATATGATGCGGTGCGTGTATATAACCCAGCAACATTCAATCATGCATGAACACTTAAGCCTTGTGGTTAAATTTACTAAGCCACTATAAAAGCCTCGTGTTTCGAATTTACTATGCCATTATAATGCCTCGTGTTTCAAATTTACGTGATTTATGATAGGATACAAAATCTCAATGTTTCAAGTAAATTAAGTTTCATTCTAAAACGCGCGACCAATGGTGAAAAAATGCGTGAGTTTTACCTTAAAATATGTTAAATTTAATTGCTTAGAAATCAGTAATGGTTATGTGAATCGATTTTCATTTGCAATAAAGAAAAAAACTTAGCTTATTCGGCAAATTTGCTGAATTTATCCGTAAAATAAATATAATTGATGATAAGACGCGTGCCCTGTTAATATATTCTTGCCCAGTTCATTGTAAAAAATGTTGAACACGAATCAAATCATCATGCCTTACAATTATTGAATAGCATTATCATCGTCGTTATATATTCTTCTAATTTAAATCTCTGTTTACTAGCTACTAATAAGTTGTATCAGTAATTGCTCCTTTAATATATCTATTTTTTGTTCAGAATGCAAGTAGTATACAGTTGTGCGCAATTTAGAGAAGTTCCTGCACATATTTTCAAGAAAAATAAATAAAAAAAAACATAAATTAGTGTAAGGATCACAGCAAATGTAATGATATAAGTGTTAGGGTATCAGAGACTACTGCATGCATTATCCTTTGATGCATGTATGTACAAGATAATTTACTTTTACTTACTTATCTATACATATACTATGCTTACTTATCGATACAATATACAATACTTACTTATATATTTACAAATATGTCGCAGCAAATCAATGGATTTTTTACGTGTTTCGCCGTACGCATTTTTTTTTGCAGTAATATTTATAAAGAATACATCTTTTCAATAAGCTGTTAAATTATTTTAAAGCTTAAGTTGTTGAAGCCTATCCATAAGTACCATTCGCACTCTAATGTCATTAATAATGAAATGATACATATCATCGGTATGCTCAGCGGTAGCATAATGTTTATTTCATTTATTATACCGATGGCATAGCTTCCGATTGCAAACTCCCTCACACTTGCAGTATTGTGCATATAGTTGCAAAAAATGTTGTGCAAAATAGTTTCTATTCGTTCATATCCCTTTTTATCTCTATTTCTACTCATTATCAAACTTGTTCAATTGTAAAGTGCCCTCAAAATTTAGTTGAACGACACACCATGACAATCGCTTTGCATAATAATAATAATTATAAAATAATAAAATACTAATAATGATAACAATAGTAATAATAATAATAATTATAAAATAATAAAATACTAATAATGATAACAATAGTAATAATAATAATAATTATAAAATAATAATATTTATAGTTATAAACTAATAATAGTAATAATAACAATAATGTCGTCGAGAAATAATAATAATCACGAGACCCACCTGAAGAAGGTCTGTCGGAGTATCGCGTGCAGTAGACCCAGGCTGGCCAGTTGCTGCTGTCTTCGGGTATCTTGGGGTTGACGAGCTCGTCCAAGTTGTCGGTTTGGTTCCCCGATTTAGAAATCCTCTCCCCTTGAGTGTTCTTGTTGCAGTTGCTCGTAGATTTCTCATTGTTATTGTTGTTGTTTATATTATTATTGTTATTTGCATTCTCATGCTGGCTGGAAGAACTGGAAAAGCTGCTGTTCGTAGAACTGTTGCTCGGTGTCGGCGACGGAACAGACACCGGCGTTCTAGAGATATTCGTTGGCTGTTGTTCGCTTGAGAATTCGGTAGGGAAAATATCTTTATTCGCTGGTTGTTGATCGATTTCTTTAATTGAAATATTCTTACAGATGGCAGATTTCTTGTTTTGATGTTGCTGTTGATGGGATTGAATGATTTGATGATTTTGAAGACGTTTTTGATGATCGTTGATGTTAGTGAAAGCGTTAAAAGGCTTCAATAGTTGGAAGGCCGCTGAAGATGATAAGGGGATTGGTTTGGTGACGATAGGCTGCTGGAGGTGAGGACTTACGGCGTGATGCTGGAAAAGTTGCTGCTGAAGATGATGTTGAAGCGGATTAATAGCGTGCACAACAGGGCTAAAAGGATTCACGGGGTGATTTACAGGGTTCATCAGGAAGCTGATGGAATGTGACAAGAAACTTTCATTGGTTTTGGCCGCATTGGCAAGAAAATTGTGACTTAGAGCTAAGGGAAGCCTGTGACTAAGATCCACCGGGGACTCATGACGCCCTGGGATATCAGGCGTCTTTGGGGGAGTTCGCAGGAGCAATTCAGGCGTCTCTGAAGACCTCTTACCAACCAGCGGTGCTCGGCTGTGACAAACTGGGTCTGTTTTCGCGCTACCGAAGTCGGGCTTTAGTATATTATCGATGCTGAAGGGAAGAGCCCGCAGTGGGGGTACATTTATCTGTTGATGTTGCTGGGGATAATTATTCTGCGGGGATAAAGGGAATAACCGCGATGATGGAGGAGATCCAGCCCCAGGAGGAGTGGGGGGCAAGTGAGGACTTTCGGACTGTAGCGGCGACGCGGGACTCGAAGTCGCTGTTTTGTCCGGGGACAGCTTCAGAGATTCCTGGTCATTGTTTTGCAAAGTCCCACGGGTTATCGGTGGTAAAAAACCTCCACAGAGAGTTTCCATTTGCACTGCCATTTGGTTCACTCGTGGAGAAACTTTAGTGGTAATTTCTGTCCGAATTTAAAATCGAGTTCGTTGATCGCTCGGCGGGCGCCGGCAACGGGCAGGTGGTTGGAGTTCAAATAAAGCACATGTGCAATAACAAAACTTTCAGGCACCATCCAACTCTGAGGACACTGCCCCAGTCAAGCATCTATGATTATAGGTTCGTTTACGAGCTTAATTAACCCGTTATATGTGATTGAAGCTTCCAATTGAATATAAATTGCCAGATGCTGTCACTCAGAGGTCTTACTTGCGGGAGGTCCGTTCAAATACTGAACACATCCTCCACCTAGAGCCTCAATTTAAAAGCTCCTCCCACCTCAAACGCTCCACCTTCACCAACTCTAATGACCCTGACGAGATGCACAGCCAATAGCAGGCTCTTCGTCGGCCAAAAGGCTCCGTTTTCGCGGCCCAATGTTGAGGTCAAGAGCGCGGCGAAGAGGAACGCAGCGTCGCGCATGATTGGTTGGCTTGGCCAGGTAATAGAGCTGTGCCTTGATTGGGTCCGTAGGCCTGTAATGAAAGCATGAGCATGTCAAATGTCATGAGTTCATTGCAGCTGTCAACGCCGTGCATTGCTGCGCTCTCATGTATGCCAACATAATGCATTTGTCGTCACCTGAATCATCATGTTGTCATCATGTGCATGATAATTATGTCCATAATCATGTTGTCATCATCATGTGCAAGATAATGTTGTCCATAATCATGTTGTCATCATCATGTGCATGATAATGTTGTCCATTATCATGTTGTCATCATATGTTGTCCATAATCATGTTGTCATCATCATGTGCAAGATAATGTTGTCCATTATCATGTTGTCATCATCATGTGCATGATAATGTTGTCCATTATTATGTAACCATCATCATGTGGCAACATGATAATGGCAACATGTTGTCATGTTGCATCTTCATCATGTTGTCTTCGCATGACTGAGTGGCGTTGGCATCTAATTACAAGATTCCTTCTCAATTACAAAGTTCTTGTTAATTACATACACGTCTATTCTTAATCGCAAGTTTCTTCTCCGTTGCAATTTCTTGACAATTTCAAGCTTCTTCCTAACTAGAATTTCTTTTTCATTAAAATTTGTTCTTCTTTAATATTTGTTTTTGATTATTAACTTCTTTTTGTATGAGTACTGAATGCATTATGACATTGTCATGCATGAATAATGTGTGCGTGGTCGAGCTGTCATTAAATACATCAGTCAAATTTGATCGCAGCGAACGAACAAGGATTTCATCTGAAATCTGTGATGTTTTTTCGAAATTGTTTTTTCATAACCAATTTTAAAAATTGGGTACAAATTTAAGAATTTTGAAAGGTATTAAAAAATTTGCAATCTTTATAATTGAAAAGTCTTCCAAAAATTCATTTCTGGGTTCATAATTCATACATATAGTAACCGCTTACAGAAAAGACCGTATATACGACGAATTGCAATATGTGAAGGCTCGAGGTAATTGATTACAGAAATTTGGTGCATATTTTTTTAGTTCTATCGAATTTGAATTTTTAATTTTTTATGATAGAGAAGGATCTTTCAAAACTTATTTGGTGCAGTTCCTAATGCGTTCAATTGATAATTTCAAAGAATTTAAATAATTTGAGCATTTCAAAGGATTTGAAGAATATTTCAAAGAAGTTCCATAATAAATAGTTTCTGGACATAAAACGCAAACATTTTCCGAAATTTCGAACGTTTATTGGAGCAGCAGGGCATTTTACACGCTGTTGCATTTTTGCTATAAATATTGCCTAATTAAATTCGTAAAAGGGGATAAGTCTTGTTGTCAAGTCCTCGCGCTCTCCAAGTCACCGAGAACAAAAATTCAAGAAAATTACGTGAGAGTTAGGCGTATACGCCTGATCGAGCCATGCGCCATGGCCTATAAGCGCCATGCGTAGAACACGCCTATTTAGCATCTTGCTTCGAGCGTATATACCGCGCTTAGCGTCTTGCGTTATACCATGTCAATAGCGTCGTGCGTATACCATGCCTAGCGCCGGGCGTAAAATCGTGCCTATATAGCGCCCTGCGTATATACCATGCCAGCACCGAGAGTATATAACTGAGCGTATATATACTGCCGCGTGCGTATATCTCACGCCTAGCGCCGTGCGTATACCACGCCAGGCGTTGTGCGTATATCACGCCGAGAGTTGTGCGTATATATCATAGTGGCAGCTCTATTTACAGGGGCATAAGTCACTGGACTATAGCTCAAAATAGCAGCTCTTAACGTATTACTAAGCGCGTACATTTGCCGACAACTAACGTGCCTCAGTCACACTATGCGCGCAACTTTCACGCTGATCGATTTTGTACAATGTGCAGGCCTTCGATCTAAATTAAGCGAAGGAATATTATTTTTTCTGAGGAAAATTGGCTGAAATTGAAGTGATAAATTCGTTGGTGTTAATTTAAGTTATAAGTAATATAAATATAATATAAAAGTAATATAAAAGTAAATAAGTTACCGCCAGTTTTAAATAGTGTCAGATTGGTTCGGACAATCCAATCAGCATCCTCTGATTTTTCATATGATAATTCGCTGCCTTCATTGATGTGTTAAAATGGAACGACAGCTGTAGGAAAATAGTTACATGTCACAGAAAAATGTCGAAGGGAATTCCTCAATCACTTGGCTAGAAAATTAACATGACGGAGGTGAGTATATATAATGAGTGAGTTTAAATTTACTGTTGAATCTCGAAGCTATGATTGAATTTGCAGTCGTGAAAATCTCAGTTAAAAATTTCAGTCAAGATCAGAAAAAAAAGAATTGATTTCCATACGTTTATGAAAGGGAAATTAGCTATTACCTCCGATATCAATTCAGGTCCATCACTGATACAAAGGCTCCAGCGGTCATGGACGTGCTGTAAATAAAGACCAAGAGTGGCCGTATTGAACTTATTATCTAAAATTGCTAGCAGCCAGCTTATCACGCTGCTTATAAACCTACGTGAACTTTCAAACAAGTTACGAACAACAAGAAACCAGTCGTCGACATGCAATCGTGTGCCTATAACGATTTATTTCTAAAAAGAATTTTCCTCTCTCAGGTTCGCATAAAGTGTCGGGTGAAGTACATGCACTTCACATCCTGTACGTGTCAGTGATTGCCACATGCCGGCAATACTCCATCATTTTTATGAATAAGGTGTCGAACATCGACGAATCATTACGGCTCCATTACGAGACGCGCGTAAAATTCGCCGGTTCCCTTCCGATACGCTGCACGCAAGATTGTCGTCCATGTTGTGAATTTAAGACAAATTATGAGCGGCCATCCAAACACCAGACGAAGAAATTATTGTTGTTAATAACGAATAGGGAATGCCTGCTAACATAAGAGGTCCCATATACGTAGCAGCGTCTTTCGATCACGAGTCGTAACTCAGGGATCGCTGCAACTTACGAAAAATACGCGTTTTCATTTCCAGCTCCTTTACAAACTGCACGGGCATCTGCTTCAAACAATCAAAATATTTTCCATCAGTTCGACGAATTTTATGACATGAAACTATAGTGGCCTTTACGCTGATTTACGACACGTATATATCCTGCCATCGGCTCACTTACCTTGAACCTTCATTACTCTAAAATTATTACCGCCCCTTTGCAGGTAGATCATAACGCGGGAGTAATAGTTTGCGACTTTCATTAGTTACAAACTAACATAATCGATGATAAAACAAACTCCGCAACTAAGTGCAACACCCATTATAAATCTGGGGCTTCGATTACCATGAAGATTTATGGGTTTCGTAGGACCGCGGAATATACAATATAATAATATGGAAGGAATCAAAGGCCACGCTTTGATCCTTTCTTAAGTGTATAGAGCAGGCGACAGAAAGTTCGAGTTGAATCTTGGGTGGTTAAGATTGTTGAACAGCGAGTGCGAGCTCGGATTTATTACCAAAATCTTCGGGCCTCCAGCTTGAATTTTAATATTTTCTATTGCGGCTTCTAAATCATAGTGAATGTAAAACTAGTTCGATCGCTCATGAAGTATCGCCGTCATCATAGAATTTAGAAAAAAGCTACGGGGTATCTATGGAATTTCTTTTGGAAATTGCTATACACTTCAGTCATTTTTATAATATTCCTGTTTACACTAGTATACCCTTAATAAAATTTAAGTAAACTTGATGAATATTATTTGAAATCTGAAGTGTACCAGATTTCAAGTTAATCTATTATGTAGCTTCACGTAATTGCAACCTTGAAAAATTAATGATAAAAAAGTTGTGTTCATTCATAATGAACTAGATTCAATATATACTCGAAGAGCTGTTATTGATTTGGAGAGTTAAAATTTATTTAAATAGTTATTAATATGTAATAAATTATAATATTTACTATGAATTTTCAACGAAAGTAAAATATCCGATCATTCATTTTTCTATTCCTATTAATTAGTAAGCGTTCATTAGTACAAAATTAAAGATGAACCAAGTTTAACTGTTTAAATAAGTTCTGTAGAACAGTACTTATAGAAATATTATAGTATGATATTTCAGGTTTTAGGTTTTACTCATCGATTTTTAACCATAAAATGTTAAAACCACTCATTTTATCCAACAGCATCTCATTTGTATAACTCTCCTATAGTAACGATTTGCTTCTAATAGCAAAATATATTGTGCCCGAACACTCACTTGCAAATTATTCATTTGTTTGTTTGTTTGCAACTCCGCAGGCCATGAGTATCCAATCTACGCACAACGCAATCAATGAAAATTTTTTGTTAACATTGGACGCTTTAATTTTTGCATCAACATCATTTCTGTCAATTGCGACACGGCGCCCTCTGGCGAGGAGCCTGCGCAATACGTATAAACTTTTCATAAGGCAAACAATATTGCGTCGATAAACAGTGTTCGGATGAGGTTTGCTTACGAAACAATTCCCTGTTGTCTCTTAACCCCGTTGGCTTTGGGCAGGTAAATCACACTTCTTTAGACTAACATTTCTCTTTACACTGCATAACCTTGCGTCCTTGACAAGATTGGAAATTTTTCAAGTTACTGAGGGCTCGAAAAAACCTTTGAAATCCCACAAAATGAAGTAAGACACGTTTTAAAGTGAGTAACAGCAAAGAAACGTTACTGCATATCGTAAATACAAACCAACATCGCAGATAATGCGGCAATGCTCAGGTGTTCTGTATTTTTACCGAACAGGTAATAGCGTTACGCGTTTGGGTCGTTAGCGCTGCAGTAAAATTCGTTAGCCAGCGGGACGCCGGACGATGAGACGAGGCAGTCTCTGTGTCCGT